AGTTTGTTGCCTATTTTTAATAAATGTTACCTATAATATCATTTAATATCTCAAATACTATGTTCAACTTTAGTAATTTTAATAAAATAGTCCCAGATCAAGTGAACTTGATCACTTGATTGTTTGATTTCCCATTATTCATCGATTTACTCAAGCAGGTGCCAGTAAAGTCTCCATTCATCCCTGTTGCGTGCTAGCGTAGCCCAATGGCATCTGTTCATTCTAGGAGCATGCAGAGCCTCAATCTGATCATTCAGGGTCTTGACGAAGAAGTCTGACCATCTTGTAGGTGGGCATCCATGTGATCTTTTGATGTCCCGTGGAATCCAGTCAGTAATGGCTCTAGTCCAGTGGTTGTCTGTAAACCTCATTACATGTCCAGTCCATCTGACTTTTGATGCCTTGGCAATTGAGACAGCGTTCCTGATTCTTGAGTGTTGACGGAGATCAGAACCCTATATTCTATCTCTCATTTGAGTGAATCATGATATTCCAAGCATAGCTCTTTCGATTCCTCTTTGAGAGACCTGAATAGCGTTCTCATCCTGTCTTCGTAGGGCCCAGGTCTCTGAGGCATATGTTAATGCAGGAAGAACAGTGGAATTGAAGAGATGTGCTCGTAGCTGAAGGTTCTTTGTCCTCTTAGTTATTTCTTCAACACTCTTGAAGGCATTCCAAGCAGCTCTCTTTCTCCTGCGCAACTCAGGTGCCAGGTCATTCATCATGTTGATTTCTCGACCTAGGTATATATAACTTGCATTCGGAGATGGTGGTTCCGTTGAGAGTGAATGGAGCGTCAGGAACAAGGCTGTTTCTCATAAACATTGCCTTCGTAAGATTCAGTTGTAGTCCAACCTTTCCACACTCACGGTCGAAGTCAGTCAGCATTTGTGCTGCTTGGCTGATGTTTGGTGTTGTTAGAACGATGTTATCAGCAAAATGGAGGTGGTGTAGTTGCCGACCATCTATCTTCACTCCCATGCTTTCCCATTCCAGTCATTGCATGATGTTCTCGAGGGTGGCACTGAAGAGTTTTGGTGAAATGGTATCATCATGCCAAACCCCTCTCTTGACATGGATGATTACGTCTTTGTAGAATGGTGAGATCCTGGTAGTGAATCCGTAATAGAGTTCAAGAAGGATCCTGATGTATTGAGTTTGTACGCCCTGATTGGCTAGGGCTTCCATGACCGCTTCCGTCTCAACAGAATCAAAGGCCTTCTTTAAATCAGTGAATGGTAGACAGAGTGGCATCTTGAACTCCTGAGGAACCTCAATGAGCTTAGTAATCGTGTGGATATGGTAGATGGTACTGAATCCTTTTTGGATTCCGGCTTGTTCACATGGTTGTCCTTCATCTAGTGTTCTGCTAATCCTATTCAGGATCACTCAAGTGAACAGTTTGTAGATGACAGACAATAGGCAGATTGGGCGATAGTTGCCAATGTCGTGGATGTCTCCCTTCTTGTATAGTAGTACAGTCCTGCTGGTTTTCCATTGGGATGAAACCTTGCATTCAGACAGGTAGCGTGTGAAGAGCCGAGCCAGTGTATTGATGAGTACTGATGGTAAGTTTTTCAGGTGTTCAGGTCTGATCTTGTCTGGGCCAGGTGCTCTTTGTTTCTTTACTAACGAGATGGCATGTTGGATTTCGGAAGGGAGAACATTGGGAAGAACATATCCATCATGTGGAATGTGGTATATGAGCAATTGGACGTGACTATTAAAGAGATCTGAGTAGAAGTCATGAATAATCTTCTCCATTGCCCTTCTGGAAGATGTGATAGATCCATAAGGATGTCGTAGGGCAGTCATCTTGGTCTTGTAGTTGGTGAAGGACAGGCGAGCATTACGAATGCTTTCCCCGGCTTCTGCCGCATCTACCAGCACCACTGCTCTCCTGTCTTTGAGGTCATCCGTGATGGCTTCTCTGCATTGTTTTACCAGCTCAGACATTTGCTTGCAGTTTCCTGAGGCATGTGCCAAGCCACCTTTCTGAATAAGTTCAGGAGTGTCCGAAGAAAGGCGTTTTTTTGTGGTTATCTCTCTCTTGGCATTCCTTGCACAATCATGGAGGTGCTGAATCATTCGATCGTATTCCTCATTAATGTTGTCAATGACGGCATTTTCCCATTTGCCGCAACAGAGCCTAAGAGCTCCCAGTTGGTGGTTGTTCTGGGAGTTCTCTTCTTAAACTTTGCATTCTTTTGTCCTCGTTCTGTGAGGTAGAATTTTGCATGAAGGAGACGGTGGTCCGATCCCGTTTGGAATTTTGGGACAACAGCAACGTCGGTTAGGCAAAACCACCGATTGAATATGATGTGGTCTATTTCATTGTGGAACCGTCCACCGGGAGACTCCCATGTCCAATGTTTAGATTCAGCCTTTTGGAACTGTGAGTTACCATGGAAGGTCTTGGTTGACATGATGAACTCAGACAGTCTGTCACCCTGTTCGTTCCATCCTAGACCATGAGTCCCGACGTGGAGTTCATCGGCTGATCTTCTTGGTCCTATCTTGGCATTAAAATCACCGACAATGATCTTGTAGAAGGTGTGATCTTCTTTATAGAAGTTCTCCAGCTCCATGTAGAACTTCTCAATTTCTCTTTCACCATAATTGGATGTTGGTGCATAGACAACGATAGAAACTGCCGGCAGTGAGCCACATCTATTCAAGTGTAATCGTCCAATTTGTATTGTTAGGCATTCGAATGAATCATTGCTCATGGCTAAGTTTGTATTGACAAGGATACCGACACCACCGACGCCTCTTTTGTCACATGTTCTAAGGAACAGTTCTTCTCCAGTGTCAAAAATGGCGTGATGTGATTGATGTCTTCTCGTTTCGGTCGGACCAATGATGTCGTACTTGATCATTCGTGCTTGTACCATCAGGTCCATCAGGGCTGGAGTGATAGCACAGCAGGTAGAGCGTCTGCCTTGCACGCAGCCAACATGGCCGACCCGAGTTCGATTCCTTCGCCCCTCTCGGAGAGCCCATCAAGCTATCGAGAGTATTCGATATGCCAGACACAGTAACAACAAAGTCTCCAATGGAGACGTTACTGGGCCTGCTCGAGGAAATCGATGATCAACGGGAGGGCCTTTACTTTACTTTACTTTTACCATCAGGTCCTCGATGGATGCATCAGATGCCAGCGTACGTGCATTAAAAGTACAGACAATCAAATGAACTAAAAAAGAATATTTGATATTGCTAGTTATTAGTTTTGTCACTATCTTCCCGTTGTTCATCGATTTGCTCTAGTGGGCCCAGTAATGTCTCTATTGTGAGACTTTGTTGTTACTGTGTTTTGGCATATCTAATACGTCACAGGTAGCTTGCCAGCTTTGCTGTGTGGGCAAGATACTCTCGATAGCTTGCCAGGCTCTCCGAGAGAGGAAAGTTATTAGTTATCTTAATTATTTAAAATAGATAAAATAAGAAATAGGCAAATGAATTAGAGAATCATCTAAAACAGAATCATTATTTTTATTGTTATGGGTGTTGGAACATTGTATGATTGAAACCGAGTCATGAACAACTTTGTAACTGTGTGTTATTTCATAGTAAAATTTTAAAATGTGTTCATTGTATAAAAATCCATACATATTTGACTAAGATTTTTGACTATCAAGAAATTACCTTTGAGGATTTCTGAGTTAACTTACTTGACATAACAAATATAATGTACAAAGAATATAATATGCAAGTACAAATATACAACATATGTAGAAACAAACATTTAATATTAGAAATATATAAACATACTTTTAAATATTTAAAATATGAAAAAGGTAAAAAGAGATATATGCACAGATGCAAATTGTTACATTATTCTACTGAGGTGAAAAAATGCAATAATAAAACAAGTCTAACTTTTGAGCCTGGAATAATTGTTAATTACACTTGCATTTGTATTTTTTAAATTTCTATTTATTGATGCCATGTGTTATACATTTATTAATAGTTACCTCTCTTAGAAGACCATTAGCTTATAAAAGATTCAAATGAACTCACTAATCTCTGGATTGCCCTCAACATTAGCACAGCTTGCAATGTTGTTTTTAGGATAGAATTCCAACCTTTCTTATTGAGCTCCAATCCTCTGATAGAGTGGTTTCACAGTATAATATTAACACAGACTGTTCAAATGGATATTTCTCCTCTAATTTATTCACTGTTGAGATGAGGATAGAAGTACTCAGGAATATATTGTTATAAAAGTACCTATATTATATTTCTCTTTTAAAGTAAGGTCAGTACTATGATACTCCTGGGCAGTCACATAGATCAGAATCTTTACCTCTTCGTAATCAGAAAAATCCTCTCATTGTTCAGAAACTAAAACATAGATGACCACTCTGTCAGTTGGAATTTTGCTTTCTTTATTATCTTTTTCCACTATAGTTTTAGTGAAAACATTTACTTATAAACTCTCCTTCAGAGTCTAAGATGAGGGCTGAAGAGATAGGTAAAAGTACTAGGCACATGCTTTGTCCCAGGTTTGATCCTTGGCACCATATGATCTTCTGAGCTCTGCCAAGAGTGACATACCACAATCATGTTGCTGAAAGTAGCTACTGAAAACCCTCAGGTGTCACCCCCCAAAATAAATAAATAAATAAATTTAAGCAAATTTAGTCTAAGATGAATATCTGAGTCTATCTAATCTCCCCATGTAAACAGGAGAAAGGATGGCTTTTTCTTAAAGGGCAGGAAAGCAAAACACTATATCATAAAAATGTCAGGAACATCTTATTTCCATTTTCTTGTGTGCAGTTTGAGGGATGGAACGCAGGGTCTCACAAATGTAAGACGCAAAGCAAGTGCTCTACCACTGAGTCACATCACCACCAGTAATCTTTGATTTCAATTTTAAAGAATTGTCTGATTTTATAGTCTAGAAATGAATAAATGCATATCCAACAGAAGAATGTTTATGTTTCACAACTCAAAATTATTAAAAAATTTACTGACTCTTTTTAATTTTTTAGGCTTCAAGGAGACAATCTGGCTGACAGAACAGAAGAGACTTCTCAGATACTTCATTCTCCAGGTGAAACAATCCCAGATTCTTTGGGTAAGTTTTAAAGCCAACACTTAGTGGCACTTGTAGATGGACAAAAATCACAAAATCACAAATCATCCTGTTAGTCGTCGATTGCCTCGAGCAGGCCCCAGTAACGTCTCCTTCATCCTAGCCCTGAGATTATATTCAAGGCTCTTTAGGAGAATGAGACCCATCATTGTTACTGGTATTTGGCATATTGGGTATGCCACAGGGAGTTGGCCAGACTCTGCCATGTGGGCAGGCTACATTCGGTAGCCTGCCAATTTGTCCAAAGTAGGAATGAGATAATAAGATGTCATAATAAAATGTCGCGCGGCCGCAAATGCGGCCACGCAGTTCAGAGATCAGGTTTTTTTGTAGTTTCTGAGTCTTGGCCGCTGATGGGATTACACGGTGCCAGGGGTCCAGTTGGTGGGTGTGACCCCCGCCTACTGGAATTTGGAGGATCTGGGTGGAGGATGCTCGGCCCAAATCCGGGTAGGCTTGGAGATCTTGGCCCCGGAACCCACGTGACTTTGTCCCTCTGCCAGTACCTTCACGTGTGCGGAGAGTGGTCTCAGCATGGTGGTAGCTGGTCCTGGAGGTCTTTGGCTGCCGGAGCCCTGGTCAGGGCGGGGAGGAAAGCTCAACCTGCTCCCCTCCAACGGGTCCTGGCGAATGAGGACAGTCAGGCGCGGGGGCAGAAGACTGCACTCTTCTCTAGAAGATGGACAAAAGGGAAGATAATCCAAACACATTTTCCTCTACTAATCACCACAGCTGCCTGTCAATATGTCCAAATACTTTTTCGACCTGTGTGTTTCAGAGATTAGGGGCAAAGGGAAAAGAAGGCTAATCCTCTTTTGTGTGTTTTATTTTGTAAGAAGCCACACCTTCCTGGCTACTCCCAGCTCTGTATTTGAGTGTGATTCTGACAATGCTTGGGGGACCTTGTGATGCTGGAGATCAACCTGGGCCCCCAGCATGCAAAACATAGACTCAGTTTGTTGAGCTATCTACTTACCTCTATAAAAGTCTAAACTCTCAAATCTAGTAATTACGTTCCTTGCCTAATTAAGGTACAGTTAACTATATGTTGTCTTTCCCCCAAATTCTATAGTTAATTCCAAGTTGTTGTGTAAACTTAACACTGCATACTTTCATCTCAGATTGTCTTGCAGTGTCCTGGGGTAGTAACGTCCATACCACAATTGAGTTTTCCCTTTCTGTTCCTTTGTTCTCTTCGGATTGTCCCTTTAGAATTTTATGTCTACCAATGTTCTTTTTATTTTCAATGATACAGCCTAGTTTCTGTTTTAATAACATGCGCTTTTCTCCAAAATTTTAAGAAATTTCATCTCACTTAAGGGAAAAAGGAGATGGTATTTAAGTTGTATAGCCAAAAAAAAAGTAAATATCTAAAAGTAAATATCTAAATATCTAAAATGTAAAACAAAATGGACAATAACTATAAGTTTCAACAATTTTAGCAAAATAATACACAATATGAAGATTTGGTTTATTTGCATGTTTGGGGGGTTTGAACCACACCCAGAGGTTCTTACGGGCTTCTCACAGCCCAGGTGACCATGTTGTCACAGATATCCAATGGCGGTCAGCTGCATTCAAAGCAGACGTTAATCCTTGTATTTTAATTCCCATGCATGGCTTTTCATGCAACAGACATGGCTTTGATCCCCAATATCCCATATTGTCCCCCCAAGCTCCACCAGGAGTAAGCCCTAAGCATTCCCATGTGGCTCACCCCACGCTCCAAAATAAAAAATTATACTATAAAATGGGCTGGGGCGATAGCACATCAGGTAGGGCATTTGCCTTGCACATGGCCAACCGAAGCCAACCTGGTTGATTCCTTCACCCTTCTTGGACAGCCCAGCAAGCTACTGAGAGTATCTCGCCCACCCTGCAAAGCCTGGCAAGCTACCCGTGACATATTTGATATGCAAAACACATTAACAACAAGTCTCACAATGGAGACGTTACTGGGCCCGCTTGAGTAAATAGATGAACAACGGGAGGACAGTGTTACAGTGCAACTATGTCTCTAGCCCAAAGGTTGATTTATTTAAATAACTAAAGTAAATGTGGCTCATACACATCCCAGACTTTAATGTTTGCCTCTAAATTAGAAATACTAAACTTTAACTGTCAAAGAGCATAACTTTTCTACAACTGTTGCACCACTTTAATACATTGTTTTTATCACAGGTTTGCAGGTTAGAGAGTTAATAGACAACACGTGATATAATTTATTCATCTGTTTACTAATGATAGATTCATTACCTGGAACTGAGGAAGCTCTAATGGAAGCTGGTGAAGAATTTGAGAAAGCATCAAGATTAACAGGTCCTGTAAGTAAATTCATTTACTTATTATTTATTTTTAATTAATTTATATTAGTTTTGGTGGGGATCTCCCAAGCAGTGTTCAGGAGTCCCGGGGTTCTACTGATAGTTCTTGGTCAGTTGGGCCAGTAGGTCAGTGAAGGTCCTGAGGATGTGCTGCTGCTCAGGCTCTGTGGTGCTGGGAATTCCCCAGCCCCTGTGACTGTGTCTGGGGCCTGCAGAGGTCCACCTACTGTGGATGGTGGGGGTTCAAGGGGGACACCATGGGTTGCTGGACACCAAACTTGGCTCAGAAACATCAGGCATTTGCTTATACACCTGTCATATCTCGTAGTCCTTTATTTTTTTAGATTTCTGCAACTGATGACTATCTTTAATAGGAAAATGTAAAATGACTAAAAAGAAATGTGAATATCATTCTTGACAGGGGCGATTTTAAGATGTGTATCTAGTATTTCCCACATAAGCACGCCCACATGCAGAGTGCTTATATAAACGGTCAGCTTGATTTCTCCCATATTTAGCAGAGATACATTAAGCTTATTCAGCAATTATGTCACAGGATTTGGGTTGAAGACATTTCATTTTCCAATGGATTTCATAATAAAATTAGTGAAACATTTGCCAGTAAAAATAGTGCATCTTTGTTCAGTTGTCATTCTCTCATTGTGCTTAATTTTTTATACAATAGTAGTGACCACCTTTGTAGTATTCAGTGAATACTATAAATATCCTCTTTTGTTTCTAATCCATTTCTTTCTTATAATTTAAAATTTATAAGTGCAAAAATTCCTGTATGATTTTTATTTCTGTAGACCTAGAAGTATAACTGTACATAGCAAGCATTATATATATGTATATATATAATGACCAAATATGTTAATATTTTAGCAATAGTTTTTCACCTTGAAATGAAAAATAGAAAATGTTCTATTGTAACAAGGTAGAAAATTCAAGATAGAAAAACTCTGGCTGCTATTAGTTCCATGGATACTCTCCTGTACTCAGTATCATGAGCTACTTTCCCATCTTCATCTTGGATAAGGATGTGCATTTTGTAGAAGACTGACTGGAAACTCAGAGAAGCTTCTTAATTACAAGAGAGTCCAAGTTAAAAGAATAGTGAGGTGAGGATTTAATTACTAGTCAATTTCCCTCTTATTGACCATTATCAGTATCTCTAGTTCTTTCTAATTTCTTTTAGAAATAATGTATTTCTATATTAACAGTTTGTTCCACTCTTCCAACCACTAACATCATCGGTCCTTGTTCTACAACTGGGGCAATAGCTTAAATCCAACCTTACTTCCTAAGAAATGATTTGTAGAAATGAGGATCCTGTTAACAAGTCTCTTCCCGAGACATCTTTTCCATCAAAAATACAATGTTTTTCAACCAATTCTCACAATGTGTAACTTTCCGAGTTCAGTATCATTAATACTTCTCTGAACATATGTATTTTTTAGCAAATCTCATGTTAAAATGTGGTTTATACCATAACTGGAAACAAGGTTCCAAATAATGTCTCCACTCATGGGTTATGAATTTAATATAAATATTATCTTTGAATTATAATCTAGGTTTACATTAGCTTTTCTAAAAAGAAATTTCTGACACACTGAGTAAATTTCTGACACACTGAGTAAAGATTTACTTGAGTAAATCTTCATAATTTCATGATGATATATCTTGATTTAAGGTGTGATAATCTTTCATCACTTCTTGCAAAGGGTTGTTTTATGATATATGAATATAATTTGGCCCATATATCTTCTTCATATCTGAAAGATTATTATTATTACTTCATAATCACTTTCTAAAGTCAAAGATATAGCATGACTATAGTATTTTTGCTTTACTAATAATACCAATAAGACCTAAAGAAGAACTTGAAAAACTGCTACTTTGGTAAATCTTCTGAGTAATTTCACAAGGAATCCTAAGGAATTTTGCTTATGATGATTTCACAATGCAATTTCCTGGTGTGAATTATTTTTCTGTTAATTTGATTTGTTTCCATTTATCAGCCATTGAGCTTTGAGTTTTTATTTTTTAAATTTTTTAATTTTTTTAAATTTTTAAATAAATTACCATGGGGTACAGTTACAGACTTACAATCTTTCATTCTTACATTTCAGTGATACAATGGTAGAGTACCCGTCCCGAGCTTTGAGTTTTTGAACAGTTTATAAGATGTTTAAAATTACCATTTGTATTTTTGGAAATATATGGAATATAATTAATATATTTTAGGATGCTGAACATCATTCCTAGATGTTAGCTCTTTTATCATGGTTAAAAGAAACAAGGATTTTAAGAATATCATATCAAGCTGATTTTATTTTATATGTACACTACCTTAAATATATTCCTCTAATATTTTAAGGTAATTTTCTGGTGAATTGAGAAGAAAATTGTGGCTTTTTCTAAATGCTTTTGGAGAATTGAAACCAACATTTTTATTTCACATAAAAATGCAAAATATTTCAAAGCAAATTTTGAGTCATATCCTGCAAAAATATAAACATGTCACAGATGTTGAAAACCTGTAAGAGTTGTTGCAACACATGCTGTCTCTATTTGCTAACTTTCCATGGTGGTTATTGACATTAATAAGTGGATAACAGATTCTTGGAAACACTTTTTCCCTCCTAGTGACTTAATCTGTGTTTAAAATGTTTTGTGAATATTTGAGTGAGGTAAAGGCAACATTTAGATTTCTATCCTCCCTGAATAAGCAAGCCATTCTTTTGGAATTTCCTTTTACCTATTTCCCTTCTGTATTCTGGATTATTTTTTTTTAGCATATCTAGTTTATAGAGATGAAGCTGGATTTGTCAGACAAATCTATTTATTAAAAATGAAACAACAAAAATGAAATTCTTAGGCAAAGAGTACCAAGAAGCAGATATTGCTTATCATCTTTTAGTTCACAAATTTAATACTGATATAAATTCAAGTATTATGTTTTATTTTTGTATTCTATATACTTTTATAAAGGTAGCATTAGTTTAATGATGATGTATGTTTCGGGGATAGAATTTCATCATTTGCAAAATAAATGTTACCACATTGCAACTATCACCAGAATACTGATATTTCACAGTTCATTCCACCATGCCCCACAAAGTCCTCCTCTCTCTCTTCTGATAAGCTCAGATCTATTTCTTGAGTCCAAGGGTTAGTTTTCATATGACTTTGACTTCTTTACTTCTCTGTATCCCACATATGTGTGAGAGCATCTGATATTTTTCTCTTTTCTTCTGAATTTATTTTGCCTTGTATGATTTACCTGTAGCACTGTAGCACTGTCCTCCCGTTGTTCAATGAGTTGCTCAAGCAGGCACCAGTAATGTCTCACAACAAATTGTGAGACTTGTTGTTACTGTTTTGGGCATATCAAATACGTCACAGGGAGCTTGCCGGGCTTTGCCCTGTGGGCGAGATACTCTGGGTAGCGCTCTCCGAGAGGGATGGAGTAATCGAACTCAGATCCTTCCAGGTTTGTTCATGTGCTTAACTATACTTATATCAGTGATCCACAAAAATTCAATACTAAAGATTTTAAAATTCCACAGTTCTTATGAGTCTCTGGGAACAGGTATGTGTAGACCACAAACCTAAACCCTTGGACATACACTCGGGCCTAAACCCTTGTTTAAGACCTTCGGTTTAATATCGACCCTGTCCTCAAGAAAAAAAGAATGACACATACATAAATCCTAAAAGATCTACATTGTTTAAAGAGTTGCGCATATATGAGTATATACATCATATATATATATGTATATATATACTCATATAATAGTAAATTGAATAAATAAGAAAGAAATTTGGGAGTCAGGGAGACAGTGCATGGGTTAAAATGCTTTCCTTGAATGTGGCCAACATGAGTTTGATCTGTGGGACCATATATGAATTCTTGAGCAGTATCACTTGGAGTAATCCTAGAGCACAAGACCAGGAGTAAGCCCTAAGCACTTTCAAGTACTGATCAGCCAATAATAAACTTACTCCCACAAGACTATGTAAGTAGTCAGCATTTTTTCAAGTGTAAGAAAAATTAACAAGACTTTTATAGAGGTATGTTTTCTAGAATCTCCAAGAGTTACTGAAAGTTATATTTGGGGTGTATTTTCCTGCTTCAGACTTTCATCTGTTTGAGAAAACAAGTAATATAACTACAAAATGTTAGTAATAATAATGATGATGATATATCTATATTTATAGCTCTAACTAATTATTAGACAATTTATCAATTTTCTCAGATATTGCAATTCATCTGATTGGCTGCTTAAGCTTAGCCACCCTTCTGTGAACTACATACTTTAGTGTCCAAGAAATTTGGAAATTTATGCTATGCATTTCAGACCAAGCAGAACTAAACTTATGTTTACTTATGCCCACACTCTCTTTCACGAAACATTTTTTAATTTAAATTATTTTTTCTTTGTAATCTACTCATTTTTTATTGAACTAACATTGGTTTCCAATCTCACACCATTTCAAATATTTCCCACCCACTTCCAAAGTGCCAATCTCACTCAGTCTCCTCTGGAGTTCTCTCCCACCTTTCAGCTCCTTCCCATTTTCCCTGGGAACTCTGCACTCATCTTAAGAAATTTTTGTTAAATTTTAAATTTTTGAATATTTTAATTTATTAAAATATTAAATATCTAAATATTAGTTTGCCAGATATAAGCCGTGGCATATTCGATATGCCATATATGGCATATTCAATATGCCAAAAACAGTAACAATAACGGGTTTCATTCCCCTGACCCTGAAAGAGCCTCCAATACGAAAGTATTGGGAAAGATGATTAAGGAGAGGCTGCTAAATCTCAGGGCTGCTAAAACTCAGTGATACAGTGATTATTTTTTTAATTGAATCACTGGGAGATGCACAGTTACAAAGTTGTTCATGATTGGGTTTCAGTCATATGATGTTCTTACACTCTCTCTTGTTTGTACCACCACCAGTGTCCCCAATTTTCCTCCCACTAG